TGTTGGTATGGCACACGTTTAGTACAGTCTTAGATCTAGAATATGTTGGTATGGCACACGTTTAGTACAGTCTTAGATCTAGAATGTGTTGGTATGGCACACGTTTAGTACAGTCTTAGATCTAGAATATGTTGGTATGGCACACGTTTAGTACAGTCTTAGATCTAGAATATGTTGGTATGGCACACGTTTAGTACAGTCTTAGATCTAGAATATGTTGGTATGGCACACGTTTAGTACAGTCTTAGATCTAGAATATGTTGGTATGGCACACGTTTAGTACAGTCTTAGATCTAGAATATGTTGGTATGGCACACGTTTAGTACAGTCTTAGATCTAGAATATGTTGGTATGGCACACGTTTAGTACAGTCTTAGATCTAGAATATGTTGGTATGGCACACGTTTAGTACAGTCTTAGATCTAGAATATGTTGGTATGGCACACGTTTAGTACAGTCTTAGATCTAGAATGTGTTGGTATGGCACACGTTTAGTACAGTCTTAGATCTAGAATATGTTGGTATGGCACACGTTTAGTACAGTCTTAGATCTAGAATATGTTGGTATGGCACACGTTTAGTACAGTCTTAGATCTAGAATGTGTTGGTATGGCACACGTTTAGTACAGTCTTAGATCTAGAATATGTTGGTATGGCACACGTTTAGTACAGTCTTAGATCTAGAATATGTTGGTATGGCACACGTTTAGTACAGTCTTAGATCTAGAATGTGTTGGTATGGCACACGTTTAGTACAGTCTTAGATCTAGAATGTGTTGGTATGGCACACGTTTAGTACGGTCTTAGATCTAGAATGTGTTGGTATGGCACACGTTTAGTACGGTCTTAGATCTAGAATGTGTTGGTATGGCACACGTTTAGTACGGTCTTAGATCTAGAATGTGTTGGTATGGTACACGTTTAGTACGGTCTTAGATCTAGAATATGTTGGTATGTCACACGTTTAGTACGGTCTTAGATCTAGAATGTGTTGGTATGGTACACGTTTAGTACGGTCTTAGATCTAGAATGTGTTGGTATGGCACACGTTTAGTACGGTCTTAGATCTAGAATGTGTTGGTATGGTACACGTTTAGTACGGTCTTAGATCTAGAATGTGTTGGTATGGCACACGTTTAGTACGGTCTTAGATCTAGAATGTGTTGGTATGGCACACGTTTAGTACAGTCTTAGATCTAGAATGTGTTGGTATGGCACGCGTTTAGTACGGTCTTAGATCTAGAATGTGTTGGTATGGCGCACGTTTAGTACGGTCTTAGATCTAGAATGTGTTGGTATGGTACACGTTTAGTACGGTCTTAGATCTAGAATGTGTTGGTATGGTACACGTTTAGTACAGTCTTAGATCTAGAATGTGTTGGTATGGTACACGTTTAGTACGGTCTTAGATCTAGAATGTGTTGGTATGGTACACGTTTAGTACGGTCTTAGATCTAGAATGTGT